ATTTACATTTAAAATAAGAAAACACAATTGCATTGTCTTATTTCAGGTGCATTTATCTCATTATCTTATTTTAGGACTAAGAATACTAATTCCATTGGATGATCATCTCATTTACCTACTCAAATGAATGGTAAATACACTAGATTGTTTTTGCAGTGTATCCCTTGTTTTTTATAAAAGCAGAAAGTTTCAATTCTAAATAAAATCAGTTTGTCAAAGCATTAGAGCTTTTAGTTTAATAGAGCCACATAAAATAATCCACGTATTTTCTGTTATTTTTCTCTGCAATAATGTAATCTGTCCAACAACATGTATGCAACATGACTTTAAAAAGTTCCAGTATACAACAAAAACTTTCAGTTCATCGTTGAAACTTTGCAAGGACCTGCCAATTTTAGAGCGATTTCAGAACTGTTGCTTATTTGTACAATTTATACAGTAGATAAGGATAAGGATTTTTAAACAAAAATTGTTCTTTACATAGTGAGAATAATAAAGAAATCATGTTTGTTTTTTCTTACCCTGTAGGTCCAAGCTGAGCTGAAAAAGCGCTGGCAACTGTTTTTGTTCACGAATCACTTCAAGGTCCACACCTGTTTTCGTGGCACAAATCTCAAGAACCTTTGGAAATGTACTCGACGGCAGCACAGAAAGCGCTCTCGACAGTTTGATTCTTACGGCAGAAACACCACTTTGATGGCTCGCCCACATCTCCTTCAGGTGGCTGTGCAAGGAGGAGTTGGCCCTCTTGGACGGGGACAGATTAGAGGCCATGGACTCGAGGGCTTTGAATCACCAGGGCTTGACTTTCTCACCAGGAAGAGTCTCTCCAGTAGCGATGGAGAGATGACCCAAGGGGAGACCATGGAGGAGATCCTGGAGGAGAGCCAGTTCTAAACCCAGTTGGTTTATAGGTAAAAATCAAAACTAGTGGGACTGAGAAAAATTAATATATTGGTTTCAGTAGAAGCAGTCAACTTTAGGGCTGGAGAAACACCTTATATTCTACCACGACATGGACCCCAGGAATTATATTAATGGGAGGTTTGATATAGTAAAGACTCTAACCCCAACTGTAATCATTTGTAAAAGAAAAAAAAGTAATGATATTTCCATTAAGATAAGCCCTGCTTCACAATGACTAGAACTTTTACCCATAAACCACTTAATATAACCACTGCTGTGACAGTTTCATACCCCTCACCCACTGGCAGAAAAACTTCTTTAAACCAGGGAACATCTTCTTTTAGTAGCAGTGGGAACAGCTCACTGACTCGTGTCTATCCAGGTCAAACAACTTAGTAAGCGACCCACATTAAAATCACCTCGCTCTGATCGGCATGCTGTGGGAAACCAGAACCGGGTTGACTCGCTAATTTACATGACACCATTAATCGCAACGTACGAACATCAACACACATCTAACAAGCCCAAATAACTCTGTTTACATTTGATAAACATGGTGCAGCACTGGTGAGAGGGATTCAGACAGATCAGAAGCAAAACCCTAAAGGACACTGACTACGCCCTGGCTTCCTTACATTGTTTACTTTCCTGATTTCTTTCGCACTGGTGACATCATCAACACTAACCAAGTGTGATGGTTTCACCAGACACGCAGCCACGGGGGGACAGAAGCCATGCAGCTTGCCAGCGAGGGGTTAAACCCAGCTTTTTTCGCCAATGGGAAGGGAGCCAAATTCCGATTGTTAGTGGGTCGACCCATGTTTGAAAATCCTGTGTTAACCTGCAACTTTTAGTGGGAAAGAGGCGTCAGTATCGGTTATAATAGAACACTGCTCGAAATCCCCACCTCCACCTGTAAATCGTTCTATGACTAGCCCCCTAAGTTTCTTTGAAAAGCAAATGGGTGTTCACACTGAATGCAGTGCTTGATCTGGTATTATTTCTAATGACATTTTATTGCTGCGCTGAACAAAGCACATGTGAATCCCACTGTTGTGTGAGTCTTCTTGCCCAGCATGGTCAAATTCAAATTTGACTGCAGCCCCCGAGCGGCAAAGTGAATGCACACTGCAAAAACTTGAAGTCTAAGTAAGTTATTTTTTCTTAAAATAATTGTATTTTTTTCTTGAATTGAGGGGGAAATTTAATTAATGGTAAATACGCTTAATTTAAGAAATTTTACTTATTTTTAGGTTAGTTTTCCAGTGCAGCCTGAAATCAGAAAGATTAGGAAGGAAATTGAAGGACTGGAAAAAAATTGAAATCTCGATAAGTCATTTTTTTTTTTTTAAGTTCTTGGATTGAGGAGGTAAAAGAG